GAGGTGTGGGCCACATTAACGAAAGGGGTGGCTCAGGCTGGGCCTTGAAGCGTGAGCAGGTGAGCTGAGCACAGGATCAGGGAGGATGAGCACGGAGCATGGCTTTCACGTAGTCAAGAGACCAAAAGAGGAATTTCCCTTCTTCCCTTGTCCCTCCTAGGGAATGGTTCTTAAGAGCCAGGGTCCACAGTCAGCTGGTCAGATCCAGCTAGAGTCCTTCTTGATAGGGGGCCTGTCTCTGAGAAGCCCCATGCCACCATCCCCCAAAGACTGTGTGGAGCTCTCCTCCTTGGGGTGCTCTGAGCTTTAGGCTCAGAGACGTGCAGCCCAGGGAGAGTAGTGGTATCATTGCTCTTCTTTGACTTTCCCTCTGCTCCCTCTTGCTTTTCTAAAATGATCAAAACTCCTCCAGATGCTAAAACAGATGCCCCCCCAAAACTGAAGGACAGTGTGGTAAAGAGGAAAGTCTGACGGACTTAAGTGAAAATCCCTGTTGCATTACTACTAGCTGTGAAACATTAAGCACTTTAACCACTGAACCTCAGTTTCCTTGTCTATAAAACAGAAATAATGGGGGCCAGCCCGGTGGCACAGCAGTTAAGTTTGCACATTCCACTTCAGCGGCCCGGGGTTTGCCATTTGGGATCTCGGGTGCAGACATAGCATCGTGTGGCAAGCCATGCTGTGGCAGCCGTCCTACGTATAAAGTAGAGGAAGATGGGCACGGATGTTAGCTCAAGGCCAGTCTTCCTCAGCAAAAAGAGGAGGATTGGCAGCAGATGTGAGCTCAGGGCTAATCTTCCTCAAAACAAACAAACAAACAAAATGGAAATAATGATACTACCTAATTCCTTGGGTTGTTGTGAAAATTAAGTGAATAATAATAGGTAATGTGCTCAGGCCAGTGCATGGTGTATAACAGGTCTTCCCACTCTTCGTTCCTTTCTCGTCTCTACTTTAGTCTCTTCCTTTTGTAGTACCCTGCTTTACTCTCCTCCCCTGTCCTGAACTTCCCGGTTACCTTCTCTTGAACACAGATTGTGCTTGGCCCTTTAGACTCACTTCTTGAGTGAATCCTCCCAGCCCTGTGCAGGCAGGTGCAGCTGTCACCCCTCAAGTCCCTCTCTGATTCCTCGAAGACAGCTCCCACCTTCCCTGTCTCTGTGTTCCGGCCCAGGAGCCTCCCGAGGCAGGACACGGTGGGTAAGGTCATTCAGCTTCGCTTGGCCCCAGTGCTGCTGTGGTACTGCAGACCAAAGGGTTGAGTTTGCCAGAGAGATGATGTCCTGTGACCCCCGCCTTCCTTGCCCGGTGGGCTTTGTTTCTGCCTTCCTCAGGTCCTCGTGCAGGCCATCAAGGAGGCGAAGGAGCAGCACCCAGACATGTCAGTGACCAAGGTGGTCGTCCACCAGGAGACCGAAATCTCTGAGGAGTGAGCTCAGGTACGAGCTGTTCCTGCCGGGGTGGGGGCTGCTCACTGTCCCGGCCTCAGCAAGCACTGGACGGGACGCTGGCCTCTCCAGGAGCCATCGCCTAGACTGGGGGCACGGCACCGTGCAGGCGCGGAGAGGCTGATGCGGGTGACGGGGAGGTTGTTAGTATCTGGCTGCGACTGTGCAGCTCGGTCTCCTCGTGTCCTCCCGCCCTTGCAGTGCCCGCTGGGGGTCGGGGGCTTCCCCCAAATGTGGGTGTAAACTCCCACACGCCCCCTGGATCTTCCGGCATCCTCCTGCTTCTCTACGTTCCCTCCCCCCTTCCCTCTGCTCTCTGCCCTCACCGGCATCTCTGACCTAAACCTGGGAGGGCCGGAGGGGGAGACCAAACCAAGAGTGGGCCGGGCTCTCTGGGAATGGGGGGTAGGGGGACGGGAGAAGCGGCTGCAGCTCTGGAGCCAGAGTAGAGAGCTGGAAGCAGGGTAGCTGCGTTTTGGGAGCCAGGGATCCAGGTAAATTCGTGCCTGAAGGTCGTTCACAAGCGACCTGAAGAAGCCATCAGTCACCATGTAGGACTGGGCCCTGTAAAACTGCACAGGCCCTGATTGTCACTTGTGGCCACAAGAACTTAGCAGTGGGACTGGGTAGCTGTCCTTGTTGCAGGATTTAAAAATTTTTGCTTCTTTCTTCCCTCTAGGAACTATCCTCCCCCAACTCCCCGCCTGTGTCCCATCCGAGAGAAAACCAGCAAAACGATGAAGAAGCTAACCTGCAATAGTCAGACTTCAGACTTTCCAGATTATTCTAAATCACTAGGAAATTAATTTCATTTTCTATTTGGAGTTTATACCGAGAGAATCTTCTAGATATCAGTGATTCTTTTGAATACCTTTTCTATATTGTGATACCAGAAATTGTTCAGCCTTTCACTCTGTGGACAGTTTTTAAAGATCTTTTTGTTTTTTATCGGGTGGTTAGTATCCTCCTCAGCCTAGCCTCTCCCCATTTCTTTCCAACCCAGATACTGACAGGGTCCACAGAATTCTTCGAGAAATCCTCCCAAGACTCTGTCAGCTGGGTTGGGGCCAAAGCCAGCTTAACGAGGCTCCCCCGCGCCACCTCTTGTGTGTGCCCTTGGGATGGCAGCAGAACTTCTCACACCAGCCCTTTCTCAGAGCCAGCGACGTGACTCTCCCACGTCAGGCAGGGCAGCTGCCCTGACCCACAGACCCCAGGAAACTGCCCCTGTCCCTCTGTTGAGGGTGGTTTTGGTGAGGCAGAGGCCTCTGCTGAGAATGTAGTATTGTTTTTCCTTCCTCCTCCCTGTTCTTTCTTTCTGGAGCTTCTTGAGATCAAAGACGTAAGAAGCTGCTTCAGATAGATCTGATACTGTGAATGTTTGACCATATCGGTGGCCTTCGCCGTCCTGCCCGCCCTCCCCTTTACCTCCTCGGAAGCAGAGGCTCTTGAGTGCTCCCCACCTCCCATCTCAGGAGACCAAAACTCACGGGAAAATAGGCACTTTTGGCCAAAAGCTCTAATGGCACATTTTTAGTGGTATTTTGGGCAAGGAAAGTTAATGAGTTTTTTAAAAAGGTTTTCTAGTTCTGGGAACGTGCACCTCACACGGGATGGTGGGGTTCACCTCAGTCAGATCCTGCTAAGAAGTGTCTCCAGGAGACCAGCCCTGGGCCTCTTTCTTTAATCCTGGGGCGCTCGGGAACGTGGCTCCGAGAGGAGCTTGTGTTCTCGCCCTTTCTTCTCACTGGCACCTGCCTACAGACACCGTTCTGGAGCAAGGCAGCTGGCTTTTAGGGGCCATCCTTGGCACAAAGCCCCACGTGACAAGGGGTACAAGTACCAGCTCTGCTCATTCCCACTCACCACCGGAGGTCTGTCAGGTTCTGTAGGCTTGATTTTTGTGGTGGGTTTTGGGTTTTTTTTTTTTTTTTTTGGTTTGGTTTTGAAAATGAGGACTGCTGTCCCTGATCCCACCATTCCCGGTAAAGATTGGGAGCCCTTTTTATTCAGTGGGGCTGCCCTCTTCCTCCAGCTTGCTGCCCTCACACAGATCTTCCTGGAAGTTCTTAGAATCCTGTTCCTAGGACAGAAGTGCACTTCATGAGAGAGACAGTGGGTCAGTGTCAGCTGGCGCTGGGGCTCAGGGCAGGGAACCAAGAGAAGCCGACAGCCTCCGCTCCCCGGCTCCCACGCGGCGAGCCAGCGGCACCCATCCCGAGTCGCTGCTGCCTGAGTTTTGTTTAGACAAACTCCGTTCGTTTGAACTATTTCAAGTGTGTGTGTTTTTCTTCTAGTACTTTCTTGAGACTGTTCCTAACCAATAGGCAGGGACGGGAAGAGTTCAGGTGGGATCTGTGACAGGCTTGGGGGAAAGGGGATTGTCCTCTCTTAGGAACGGACTTGCGGCCTGTGGGCCTAGGGTCTGAAATGGTGGGGCTTTCTGGGTGGTGCCCAGGCCTGGGTTGTGTGGCCAGGAGTGGCGGTGAGGTCAGAGGTCAGGCTCACATCAAACAGGCATGTAACGTGAGCTTGCTTTCCAAAGGCCAGCAGTCCTGCTGAGAGCCACTGTGGCTCCCACAGCTGAACCCCGCAGAGGGAAGAGGCTGGGGGAAAGGAGGAGGGCAAGCGCGTGCGCGTGCGGGAGAACTCTGACATACTCTGTGCTAGCTAGATGGGCGTGGCAGCTTCCGGACGCAGGACCACAAACCCCGGGGCCTGAGCCCCCTCAGCTCTGTCACCAGCTCAGTGCACTGCTCTCTGCTGCCTTGTCTGGAAACTGCCCCAGGTCTCTCACGTCTACCTCGTGGCGCTGAGCAGCCCTGGTCTGGACCAGCGAGCAAAGGGGCTGCCCTTCCCGGCCTGGTCCGCTGTCTTCCCTCTCCGGGAACAGATCTGCGGCGTGGCGGTTGTTTGGATGTTTTCTCCCTGCAGTTGAGTGTGCGTGTGTGAGAATAGACTGTCCAGGTGGAAAGGGGGACGAGGGGAGGAGAGTCTCATTTCCAGGGTCAGGGACTCGGCAGCAGTTTTCCTAAAGTGACTCAGACACACCACAGTGACAACTCTTGCTGCAGTTTTATTTCTGTTTCCCTTGAGAATGAAAGACTTCCTCCAAGCCACGTGAGGTCTCTGCCCCCCACCCACCCACCCAGCAGGACCTGCATTTGTAAGCTGAGGGCCCACAGAGCCTGGCTGCAGGGGACCTGCCCGGCATCTCGGCCCCCTCCCCAGGCCCCCCACCGTGGGTTCCGCAGGGCAGCTGGGGGGGAGGGGACAACAGTCACCCTGGGAAGTGGAGCCAGAGCTATGGCCTGACCAACACCAAGGCCCTCAGCCCCAGGCCGGCTGTTTTTACAAATCTCTCAAATGTATTATTTTGATGACAAAAATGAAGGAGCTTTGTAAATTTTTTAAAAATTATGAATCATATCAAGTAGTTGTTTACATCTCTTGACAAAATAGGAATTATGGCAGCAGAATCAAATTGGCAAAATCCTTAGATTAAATAGGCAATAATTAGTCTGCTGTTCTGGCCTTTGTAGTAAGACAAGTGGTTGTAGTGTTTAGTTATGTGTTGGTCTTGCTTCTTGTATTGCATTTTTCAATAAACTTAAAAAAAAATAATGGACTGAATCTGTGAGGATTGACTTTTAAAGTTCTCTTTCCCTACCAGCAACTGGGGAAAATTAAACAAGGGAGGGGAGACCCTAATTCAAGCCATTTTCTAAAGTAAGCTATCCACGTCAGCCAAAATGCGGATCCGTTGTATAAAAGGATTTCCGAGAACTGGCAAATGCTTCTTGCCAAGTGGAAGGCAATTCTGCAGCACAGGCCACGACAAAGGGGAGAAGGGGGCTTCTCAGACCTGTTTGGGAGGGGCCCGGCCTTCAGTAGGAAGGCGTTGGCAGTCGTGTAGCACTAGTGGCATGTACCCTGCGTGGCTGACAGAGGAAAGGGGCTGAGGTGGTGGGAGTTAAAGCCTGGGTCCCATCCCAGATGGCAGTGGAGAGTCTCAACTCTACCCCCTTGCCCATCTTCCCGGAGGCCCAAACCCCATCACCAGTGCCACCGTGGAGGGAGCCTGTCCCAGCCTGCCACATCCCAACCTACCTTCCGAGTCTTAGGGGTCCTTGCCCACCATTTGGGGTTTGCCAACACACCAGGTGCATCTCCCAGTCACCCTGGCCTGCGCCTCCAGCCCACTCAGGCACCTGTCCAGGGTTAAGGCCACTTTTGGAGGCTGAAGGATCCCTGAGGCCGAGTCATGGTGGTCTCCATACTCCACATTAAAAGACATTCCCTCCAGCTTATTGAACCCTCGTGCAGTTGGCACTTCTCTGCCCACATGCAAGTCAGGACGCCTTAGCAGCTGCGGGGTCAGGGCATCCATCCTCAGTCTGCGATGTGAGTGAAGCATCGACTACACAGTGGGACTCCTGGTCCTGTTACCACGGTCCATGCTGCAGCCTCACAGCAGGCTGTCCCCTGCTCCTCAAACCCGGGCCCCCAAGTCACCTCCTCCTCCCAACTTGGCATAACCCCCCAGACTGAGGCGGTCCAGCCGTGGCCAGCTTCTGTGAGCACAGTCCCGAGCTGCTGGGGCCCCAAGCAGGAGCTCCCCAAGGCCCAGATCCAGAGACTTGGAATGTTCGATGCAGGAACCAGAGGGCTGGACGGTGATAATCACATGGCCAGTCTGGGTCCGTGGACCCCAGGGCGGGGGCAGCCCCGGGCCCTTCAACGGGTAACTGCTGAGCAGGGCAGGTAACCCCAGGCGAGGATTGGCAGGCTCTGAACGCAGGCTCCGCACCGACGGGACGGGTGAGGTACCCCGACGCGGGGACAGATCCCAACTTTCTGGCTCTGCGCAGCCTATGGCTCGGGGAGTCCTGGGGCCGGGGCTGGGGAGGAGGGCGCAGTCCCAGGCGGGGCCGTCGGGGGGCCGGAGCGCCTGAGCCCGCAGCACCCCCTGGCGAAGCCGTCGCGTCTCCAAGTCGCGGTTCTCGTAGAGCAGCGTGTTGGCGCAGATGAACACGAAGAGGCCGACGCCCATGACCACCGGCCCCAGGAGCCGCAGCCGCTCGTGCGGGCCGTGGGCCCGGCCGGCGCCGCGACCCTCGCGCCGCTGCTCGCTCAGCGGGGGCGCGCTGGCATTGGCAGCCCTGGGCCCTGGGGGCCCGGCGCGATGCGGCCAGTAGCCGGCCACCGCGATGCCCATGCCCACCAGGACCACGAGCGCGCCCAGCGCCGCGAACGCCCCCGACGGCGAGCGCAGCCGGAGCCGCGCCCGCACCCGCAGAGGCTCGGGCGGGGAGCGCGGGCGCCTGCGGCGGCCCAGGCGGCGGCCCAGGCGAGAGACGCGGCCCTCGGGGCTCCTCCGCACCTCCCCGCAGTCTCCGGGGCTCCCAGCCGTCATCCCGCCGTCGTCTGGGCGCTCTGCGGAGAGAAGATGGGAGGCAGGGGCTGAACCGACGGGCCTAGGGTCGCAGCGCCAGGTCGGGGGCCCAAATCCGGGAGGGAAGATCCAGCTGCCTCGCCCAGGACGCTTGGAGATCCCTGGCGGCCACCCGCGGATTTTCCCGGGCTGCGAGGCGGGGAGCCGCCCCCGCTCGGGTTTTCCGCAGCGGAGCTCCGAGCCAGGGACGCGCGGCAGAAGCCCGAGTTGGCCGGGCCGGCGGGCGGAGCGGAGGGAGGGGGGCGCGGGCTGCGCCCTGGCGCATCCTCGGCTGCGGGGCTCCGGCCGCCTGCGCCCTCTTCGCCAGCCCGCGGATCCCGAGCCTCGGGAGGTGCGGGGGTCCCGGCAACGGCGTCTCCAGGGTAAGTCCCGCCCGGGCCCGACCTCACCCCCGCACGTGGCTGCACCGTAGTGAAGGAGGGAAGGGGGCGCTCAAACCGCCCGGGGCCGCTGGGGTCGCTCGCGGGCCCCACCTCCCCCCTACTGCGCTTTACCTACCGCAGCGTAGGAAGGAGGGGGTGTCACCGACTCCAGCCTCCTCCTGCCCGCCCCTCCTTCCAGACCGCCTCAATCAGCCCTGAAGCTGCAGCAGGAGAGACTTGAGCTAGACTCCGGGAAGACCGCTCTGACCGTGACCAAAGAGACAGACTGCCCAGGATTTCTTTAAATTCCGCGAAGAGGCCTCCCTCTCCCCCATCGGCCCGGCTGTGGCCAGGGCAGGAGGCCGGGGACTGCCAGTCCTGGGCGCAGGGCCTTGCCGGGCGAACTCGCCTCCTGGCTCTCCCGTCGGCCCGGGCAAGGCTGTTCGCAGGTTGCAGCGTTTCCAATTCGGGCTCCTCGGGATGAATCATCCCCCTTTCCCGCCGCCTGGCCTCCTTTCCGGCCTCCTCCGCCCGAGGCCCCAGTGGCCCGCGTCCCGGCCAAAGCCACACCGCCCTGCCCCTCAGGCCACCCGGCTCGGCCCCTCCCGGCTGCTGGTGCGGCCCGGCCTGCGGCCTGAGGACCGGATCGCGGCCGAGGCGGGCGGAGCCGGGCCGCGTGTGGTTGGCCCCACGGAAGAGAGGGTGTGGGAGGAAACGGGCCGCGGGAGAGGAGGGAGGACCTGGCTGTCCAGGGGCGCGTCCTCGCCCCCCAGTCTGCTTTCCAGACAGCTCCGCGCTGGGACCCGCCGCCGAGGCCCCAGGGAGGAGGCCCTGCTGCCCCTCTCGCTCCCATCCGCACCCTGAGGCGCAAAGCAGGACACCCCGTCCCTGCCTCCGACGGGAGCGTGAAGGCCGAGGCCTAGATGGAGCTGCAGCGTCCACCGCACCCAAGGCCTGGCTGTTAAGAGACGGGAGCTGCGGCCAGAGAGGCGGAGGGGCCGCCTGGTCACCCCGCCACACACGGCGCGCGCTCCACCAGGACCCCAGCCCAGCGCCAGGCGCGTCTCGGCACCGCCACGGAGCGTCCGGGAGGAAGCGAGGCTCGCAACCCCGGCCTCCGCGTGTGCAGCCTTCTCCCCAGCCCGAAACCGGAGGAGTGACCACCCCGCCCCAGGCCGGAGCTGGCGCCCCAGCCCCAACTCCGGAAAGGTCACCCTGCGGGAAGGGGGCCGAGGCGGGCAGAGGGATGGGGACACGCTCTGAGACCCCTAAACCGTGGAAGGCGTGAGTCGACGCTGGGGACCCCAGGGAGGCAGAAACTTGGAGACAGTCCGAAGGTCCCAGGCCGCGGGAAGCTGCTCTGGGTCGGGTCCCCTGCCCTCCGGCGTCCCGCCTCCGCCCGCGTCCACACTCCGGTCCCCGGGAGGGAGAGGGTCGGGCTCCCGCCCCCGGGGCCTTTCCTGAGGGAGGGGCCAAACGAAAAGTTGGGGAAAGTGGGTGGCGAGCCCCGGGGCCCCGGGTCCGCTCACCTGGTGCCGCCGCGCGTGGTTGGGTCGCGGGCCGAGCGCGCCGGCCGCGGCTCCCGGCACTGCCGCGGTCTCCACCGAGTCGCAGCCCCCGGCCCCGCCCCGCCCGGCCCCGCCCCGCGCCGCCCCGCCCTCCCGGGGCCCGGGGACCGTGTGGCCCGCGCCCCGCCAGGCCCCGCCGCGGGAAGAAGGCGGCAGCTCAGATCTGAGGGGCGCAGGCAAGCGCCGCGTGCGCGCCTGGTGACTCGGAGGACCCGGGGTCCCGAGTCCCCGGCTTCCGTCGTCCGCAAAGGCCTGGGAAGGCGCCTTCTTCCCACGTGGGGAGACTGAGACCCCGAGCCCGAGAGCCCCTGGCCGGCTCCGCAGCCTGCGCGTGCAGACTGGATTCGAAGGCCGCGCGCCCTGCCCCGCCTCTCCCAGCCCACAGCCCAGGCTCCCGACAGAGGACTCGCGGGGGCGTCCGAGAGCCCCTGATGCCCAGCGCCGTCCGGGAAGCTGCTCGGAGGCGGCGGCCCCAGGTTCTGCTCCGCCAGACCCCCCAGCCCTTCCCGTCTGAGCCTCACTGCCTTCACCTGTAAAATGGGCATAATGGTGTCTGCCTTGCAAGATGCTGAGAGGCGAAGATCTGGCGTGGGGGCAAGACACGCAACACAGGGCGCAGCCCGGGCTGACCCGGCGAGCGCTCTATGAATAGTAATCCGGAGGGCTGGGCGGGGGGTAGGGCCGGGCCCGGCTCTCGGAGCAGAGTGAATCAGATGCAGCGTGGCGGGCTCTGCCCGGCTCCCTGACCTCTCCTAAGGAGATGCGCCCGATCTGGAGTGGGAGGCGGGGCTGGTCCCAAATCTAGAGGAGGGTCCCCAGGGCCGTGAGGCGGCCCAGCCTCCGCGCCCCGCCCGCCCCCAGAGGCAAGAATGTGGAGCGGAGCGAGGGGGTCGGCTGGCGGCCCAGTTTCCATGATGCGGGGGGCGGGCTCAGAGGGGGAGGGGTGGTGCGGGCGGATTGCCAGGTTCCGCGGGGCCCCTAGCTCCCGCAGCCCAGCCGGGCCCCTCGGGAGGAATTTCCGGCCTGGGATTGATTATACCCCGCCCCTCCCCCGGCCGCAGAGACCCCCCGGCGCGCGGGGCGCGAGGGCAGGGGGATGGGCGGTAATGAGACCAGGCTGTGCGCCCCGCGAGGGGCGGAGGAACTCGAGGAAGTCGCCGTTCTGGGCCACCCCGCCTCGCGTCGCGTGGCCGAGCCGGGTCTCGGAGCTGCACAGCACAGGCCGGCCTCGAACCCAGGCTCGGCCCTCTGGCTCGGCCCAGGAGACTGGGGATGACATCGGCGCCCCCGGGAGCCCCTCTCCCGGCCCCCGGAGCCCAGGCATCCTCGAGAGCAACCAAGGCCACCCGGGGCCGAACTTCCTTCGCTGGGTAGACCCTGAGGATACTGGCGTCCCCGAGGAGGCCAGTGGGTGGGGCCGAGAGCGAGGCCACGGTCGCCTCCTGCCGCCCGCGTGGGACTGAAGGCTCCCGCGGCCTGTGTTCGGAAGAGAAAGCCTCGCTCCGCATCTGGGCTGTTGTCTGCGCTCCACTGAGGCAGCGGCCTCCTTCCTGCCTCCTACCCGCTCCTGCTTCCCCCATCTCCTTTGCTGGAACCTCCCAACCCCCCGCCGCCGCATCGACCCTACACTTGATCCACTCCCCACACACTGACCCCACCTCCGCCCTCATCGCGTTCCCTCCTGCCGCTGGCTCAACGCCCCGCCCACACCGGTCCCTCTCCTGCTCGTTGCTCTTCTGGGGTCCCCAACTCTAGAGACCAAAGCCTGCACAGTCTCCACGTCCTTGTCCTTGCTCCACCACCTCCGCAGGCCCCCACCACTTGCTCCTCCTGCCTGCCCCTCCCGGCTTTCCCCCTCCCCGGCCCCTCTGTTCTCCCCAGATGTTGGGGCTCCCCTTGCCTGGCCCCACAAGCCTGACCTCACTTTGAGCAACCAGACGCCTCCCCGGGAAGTCTCTCTGGGCCCTGCTCCTCCTCCGGTTTCCCCGCTCTGTGAAGGGTCCCACTGCCCCGCCCCCCACCCAAGGCCGACTACACCAGAGGTCACCTTCGGCTCCTTCCACTCCCCCTCCAGCCAATCCACCCAGCCCTGTGCACCCTGCTCTTTGGATCTCGAATCCTCGCCTTCTCCCTGCTCCAGGGCCGCTGTCCTGCTCCAGGCTGTTCTGCAGAACACCAGGCATCTTTCTACACTGAACCTGAACCCATCCCTCACGCTCTGCTTAAAACCCTCAGCGGCTCCCACTCTTGTCAAATGCGGTTTAAAATCCCTGCTCATTTCCACACACCGACCCCACCCCTCTCACCCTCCTCCCTCCTGGGCGGCTGAACTCATTTCCGTCCCCAAATCTTCTGCTCCGGCCTGGCCTCCGGGGCCTGGCGCCCGCCTGCCTTCCTGTCGGGAGCGCCTACTCCCCTGGTGGTCCCCTTGGCTCCCAGTCATCACTCAGACCTTCTCTGGGTCTTCTTGTCCCCAGGCCGGGTCAGCCCCTCCGTTACACGCCCTCACAGGAGCCTCCCTCGGCAGCTCTGCGCTCGCGGGAGCTGAGTCTATTTCCTGTCTGTGTCACCCCGGAGGTGAACTCAGGGGAGGACTGCGTCTGTCTTGCTCACCCCTGAGCCCTGGCCCTCGACTGGACTCTGTGTCCCCCACCCGGGCCCCGGCACAGATGCAGGAGACAAAGGATGTCGCTCTCTGTGTCAGTCTTCCCATCTGTAAAAAGGGGGAATAATGCTTAAGAGTTCAGCATCTGCACAGAGTGAAGGCGCACCAAGCAGCCCTCCCCTCCTCGGACCGTGGGGTTCAGGCACAGAGGGCAGGCTTTGGGGGCTGTAGAAACCTTCCCTGGGGTCATGTGGAGTGGGTTGGGGGGGAGATAGGTCCCCTTTCCTGGATATGACCCCATTTAATTCTCTTGAGAGCTCTAGAAGGTCAATATTATGCCCAATTTACAGATGAGAAAACTGTGGCTCAGAGAGGCAAAGAGACCTGCTCATAGACACACAGCCAGACCAATTAGTGCCCTCCCCCTCCACAGGGGGATGTCCTCCACCCTCTTGGTTTGGCCCTGTGGGTGTGAGGTTGTGTGGGCAGCCTTTGGCCTCAATACTGGGACACGGATTCCCTCCGGAATCTGCGCTGGCCTCCACGTGACCTGGACTCCTTCACTTCTGAACCAGAAGGGGCCTGGATGAGCTGTCCCCTGGGGACCAGAGTGGCCAATGTTTCTCCCCCAGGCTTCTCTGTGAAGGCTGGGAACTGGACACGGTGACCCCAAGGTCCCTGCCTACTTGAGGCTCCATGTCCTCTCTAGAAGCCACCAAGGGGAGGGAGTAGCTGTCATGCATGTCACAGCCCCACCCCAGGGTCACAGAACTGCAGGGCCTGGGACGTCGTCTTCTGTCATCTCTGCTTGAGGAACAACAGGGCTGGCTGGGTCTGGGCCACCCCGGGGCACTCAGAGGACACAGCCCTGTGCCAGGGCGGCTCCCGCCCGCCAGACTACACCTCCCCCGCGAATCCAGGAGCTGGTTCAGAGGGAGAGCGTGGCTCTGAGATGGCACTTTGATGCTGCTGCTCAGTCATTCTCTGGGTGACCTTGAGCACCTCCCAGCACTTCTCGCAGCTCCTGTCAGTACTGTGTCCTTCACAGGAAGGACTATGGGCCGAGGCAGTAAGAAGGGATCTGCAAGGGGAATCCAGAACCCCAGTCCCAGTGCCCCACTCTATAGGGGCAGAAACCAATGCCCAGAGAGGGGCAGTGACTTGACCAGGGTGACCCAGCTTGTGAATGGCAGAGCTGGGCTTCCAGCCCCACAGTCACAGGGGCCCCGTGGGGCCCAGGCCCTTGGAGGATTCTGGGATGTGAACCCCAAATCCGTCTCCTCCCACCCCGTGGAAGCTCTGAGCTCAGTGACTGGGCTTCTTGCGGGTGCCTCTGGGCCCCGGGCAAAGCCCTTAGGGAGAGTGAGTTCCCCGTCGCCACTGCTCTCCGAAGCCCAGAGAAGAGGAGGAGGCAGAGCTGGGTAACACTGGGGAGGTCAAGGAGATGAGACCCTCCTGGGGACAGGGCACAGCTGGCCTCCACCGGAATCCCCAGGCAGAGGGATGACCACAGGAAGTCACCGCCCTTCGAGCTCCCTCTGGCTCCCAGGTCCTTCATGCCTGTTACCCTCTCAAGTGTGCAAACAACCTTGCGAGTGAGGTGCCACTGTCACCCGTGTCACCCATGCAAAACAGGTTCAGCGAGGTCAGGCTTGCCGGTGGTCACACGCCGGTCAGCAGCAGAGCCAGGGGTAGCGGCGGGTTTTAGCCACGATGCTACGCTACCTCCCACTAGGCCTGGGACCGTGGGCAAGTCAGTTTGCCTCTTTATGTCTGTTTCCTCTTCCACAGAATGGGGACAATGGCAGCACAACTTCAAAGGGCCATGATGAGGATGGGACCCTGTGGTAAACACAGCGCCTGGTGGGGCCTGGGTCTTCTGGCCTTCAGCTGGTTCTTGCTCCTCAGTTTCCTTGCCTCTCAACCGTGAAATTGAGGCTCGTGATTGTATCTCTTTAACCACGTCCTCTGGGCTAGCTGTTGGGGACCGGAGAGGAGCGAGCCCTGGGCCCCCTCCAGATGCTTCAGGGGTTGGGGTGAACCAACCCATCCACCAAAGCTGATGAAGCAACAGGTGACTCTGTGTAGGGGGCAGGCAGCAGGGAGGACTTCATGGAGGAGGGGGCATTCCTGCTGGGTCTCAGGCTGCAGAGGGGGAGGGTGTTCCAGCCAGCAGGAACAGCATGCAGACAGCCTGGAGGCACGGACGTGGGGTCAGGTGCTAGAGGGGTGCAGGGGACAAGATGAAAGGGGTCAGGGCTCAATTGCAGAGCACGTCAAACACCAGGCTGAGGATTGGGGCTCAGTCCCCTGGCACTGGGAGCCATGGGAGGTTTTGAAGCAGGGGAGTGGCCCGATCCATATGTACCCAGGGAAGGACTTTATAAACTGTTAGCATGGCACCTGGAGTTGTTCCTCTGGGAGCACTTGAGAGCAAGTGCTCGATGTGGGGCTCCAAGCCGACCAGGGGCAGGACCAGGGGCAGGTAGGGCTGGGGAAACTTACCAGCTGCAGAGGGAGATGGGGCCCCTGGTGGCCACGGGAAAAAGGATCTCTAAGCAGCAGTTGACTACCTCCCAGGTCCTCTGGTTCTGCCCCTGAAGCCTACTGCTCTGGCCACCTCCCACCATGACCCTTCCCAGTTCCCTTGCTTTATCCCTACCCCCGTCCCCTGGGACCCTCCTCAACTCTTCTTTCGGGGGTAGGAATGAGGAAAGATGGAGAAGGAAGTGATTTAGATAAGAGCCTTAGGAGTCAGAGACTGAAGCTTGAATTGTGGCCTGACCACTTACTGGCTGTGTGACCCACAGAGATCAGTGTGTCTTCCTGAGCCTTCCTTTCATTCTCTGTAAAATGGAGATGTGATGGAAGACACCGCTCCAAGGAGTGTTGGGAGCGTGAAGTGGAATAGCGCGTGAGAGGGCTCAGCAGAGACCCCTGGGTCCCACTTGAAGCTGGTCCTACCTTTAAGGAGGCCAATCTGCACGGAAGAGGGACACACACAGGGAGTGCCACGCTGGGCTGTGCTGAGTGCTGAGGGCGGGGCACCTGTATAGGAGGAGAGGAAGAGAGAGGGCTTCCTGGAAGAGGGGGCATTTGAGTGGAGGTTTGGAGAGAATTTCAGGCAGAGGTTGCTGAAGTGCAGAGGCAGCAGGCGTGAAGGGAAGGAATGACGAGTCCT